TAGATGATAACACCGGCAGTGATATGCTCGAGTTTCAAGAGCCAAGCTTACACAAATTGGAGAGACGAAACTGCTCGCCCACAGAGACGCAGACTTTGTCTTAGTATAGCTTACACAGGATGTGCCATGTTCATTCCGCAGCTCTGGTGGGCAATTACCACCTCAGTTTATAGTAATAGTGAGGTTTATCCAATTGGATGAATTCTCGTGGCCTGAAACGTCCATACAGACATAGTGGTCGCTTCGTGTCATTTTCTCAGAGCGGCAAACAGCGCGCGATGATCCCGGGACAAAAATCGTACGGTCGTAATAGGACAATGCTTTACGATGCGGACTGCCAGAGTTTAGCAAACGGGTGAAGGCGGTGAGGCAGTGAGGGACGAAGACGCGATGGAGCAAGCATAGTGCCACCTGCGTTCGACTGCATCATTGTGGCCATCACAAACGCTGAGCTGTACTTGCGATTGGCCGGGAGACCCTTTGGTCTTCCTAGCATCAATCCTGTTCATCAAGATGGTTTAGACTTATTTCAAGTAATATATAAATAAATATAAACATAAACTGTTGTTTCTTTCCTGTCTACTCGCAGCCAGCTAATGTTGCCTTTACTAGAATGGCTACTCCCTGGCGCCAGACACTATTAAAATACTCCTACATCCAGGATGTTGATATTATTTTTTGACGGAGAATCAAAAGGTCTAGGTCTTGTTGGAAGCCCCAGAACAGGAACTTCAGTTTAGTTTCCAGGACAACGAAGTGAGTCATTTCAGCTACCATAGCTCATGAGATGGTTCCTCGTCGATCATTACCCACCTGGTGCGAATTTAGACAGACGCAGGCAGGATTCCGCGATGCAGATCCCAGCGACGACCCACGGGACAGTATATCAAGCAGGTTTTATTTCTGGGGCCCGGATAAGAAAGCCGAAGGATTTGCAAGGGTCCAGACACGACGTAAACCTAGTCTTGAGTGTCTTTGTTGCTTAAGGGTCGGTTGGAGCAGTTGAGGTATTTGGAATATCTCGCATATTTTCCAGCATTAGAAACACATGCCGCGGTTTAATTGCCCCTGCAAGAGAGTGATTGGTCCTCCGTCGAATGGCAAGCTGCTACTTTCTCTATGAGACTTATATATAGGAAGTGGCCAAACAGAGCAACAGCAAAGATATAGAGAGCCAGAAAACGGAACAATCCCTGCGTCGACAGAACTGTGCTTGATTGTTCGATCATGCTCTTCAGAGCAAGGCATCGGCCGGTGTTGGTCTTGAGTTGTGTATGGGAGTTATTTGACACCAAAAGACTCACTAGAGTATGAGCAAGCCAATAGTCGCCCCTGCACCAAATGGTTGCCCAAGACGGGTTAATTGTCTCAATGCTCGATCTTTGTGGAACTGGGTTTTGATTAGACTGTAGCTAACATGCTACTCTACCCCTGGTAAGTATTCTTGGTAGTATCGCGGTAGTCAACAATGGCACAAAAAGAGCTATTGCAGTATGATTTAGGGTTCAATGCGCTCTGCGTTCTTTGGAAGCAGTTGTAAAAGGCCAATCACACCTGGGGGCACGGAGTTCGATAGCTAGTCACCCTGCATTCCCATTTTCAGCGAAACACTATCAGTCCGAAGATGTACCCAAGAATCCCAATTACTCGCAACTCAAAGGCAGGACCAAAACATCGCAGACTCACTATGTCAAGACTTTGACACCCTCCACCCATCATGCCCGCAAACAAGACAAGGGGAAGTTGTCCAGTACATGATTGACCAATCCATGCGAAGGCTGCTGCGACACATTTCAGGAGATATTAGGGCTGAATCTTCTTCCGTAAAACCCAAACCAATCAGCGTAACATGGTGGAAGGCGAATGATTCAATCGAGTTCATGTTGTTTTGTAAAAATTCGTTCAAGGTAGCTTGAAGGACGGTAAGGCAGCAGAGGTCGAATTGCTGAAGATGCAGTGTAGTGTGAGACAGTGATTTCATCGGTGATCCAGATCCACTCAGGCGTAAATTTCGAGCGCAACTCAATAAGCCAAAGAGGTGAATGCTTAGAGTGTGCGCTTTAGGAGTGTTCAATGAGCAATAGTAAGGAAGTTCAAGACCGGATAAGTGAACAGTGGGTATGAAAACCCCGGCGTCCCTTCCGATCTTAAGGGCGTTTGAGATGATACAAAGATGATGCCCGTAAGTATATCTTTCCACCGTTTGGTCCATAAAACACCCCACCCAGTGCTCTTGGACAAGAGTCTGACAAAAGCGCAAACCGAGTTCTGTCAATCGAGGAAGCAGTCTGAAAACAGCCGACAGCGCAATGGCATCCTCTTGATTCTCCACAATCTTTTGTTGCTCTTTGCATATGGCACTGAATGTATCGTAGACAAGCACATATGGGACGTATAATTCAGCTGGCTCGCTCCGGTCGGTTTTTAACCACATGGCATAATTTCCGGGGGGAAGGATATTGCACCTAAAAAACTCAAAGTCCATCGTTTCTCCACCCGCATTAGCAGGATTTCTTAGATCGATTTTACGAAGCCTTACCAGGCCGGAGTAGTTCCGGGATCAAATATGTAAAAGAGACTACGTATTGGCGCACGTCGGATTGCATAAGCAGCCGTAGTCCATCGAGACCGGAATCGGAAAACGAGAAAACAACGTTGTGAAATAAGTATGGCAGGCAAACGTCCCTCAGTCGTTTACTAGCAGATGCTAGATGTTTCATGTCTTGAATGAAGAGGTGGCTGACTACCACACGGAGTATTTCGGTTGGAAGAGATTCGAGCTTTCGACCCATTGCAAATTCATATGTAGCTGGTAAGGTAGCTAGTGTCAACAAAGCCGTGAATTTAAATCAGCAGCTAAGTATGTCAAATCCCGGAGCTCTCGGAGATCGAGCACAAAACATTGGCTAGATAGTCAAGGGAACCTGTGAAAATTTCTTCACTTACGGAATATCGTTAGACCGAACCTTTGACTCGTCACATGTTTGGTATCCACCCTTCATCGGAGTCGCATATTTGATATCCAAATTATTCAAATTATTTATGTATTTGAAGAGAGATCAGAGAAGAAACGAAACTAGATAGATATTCGCCAATTCTACCATATGTTTAGCTGGAGACATCACAATACTCCAGACAGATCAGACAGAACTCATGATACAACTTCGTGTATGTGTAATCAGAGGGATGATTGACT